ATTGATAAAATCAAATGAAACGGTTGACGTATTGGAGGAACATCTAGTGGCTATACTTTCACGAATAACTAATCACGCCCAGCATTGTCTTATTGTTATTTCATTGTTATTTACTGTTATTCCATAGCTCATGATTTATCTACTTTGTAATGTTTTTGTTTATTCACGTTGAGAAAGTCCTGAGGACAGGACGAAATATTCGTGTGCAATAAAATACTTATGTTCCTCCAATACGTCAACCGTTTCATTTGATTTTATAAGATAAGACAATGCTGGGCGTGATTAGTTATTCGTGAAAGTATAGCCACTAGATGTTCCTCCAATACGTCAACCGTTTCATTTGATTTTATCAATGTCTCTATTATTTAATTTACTGGGAACATACGTGCTCGCAATCACATTGATGCCTACTCTATATATATATATATATACATATATATATATAATAAAGGGAAAATTAAAAAAAATCTTTTGTTTAATAACAAATTTATTAGCAAGATGAGTTTTCTAAAAGTATCTAGGCAGAGGAGAATATAAAAATATATTTAAGCTGACGAATAAAAAAATGCCAGTGTGGGAGGTCATCCCCTCCAATGTCCCTTTATCACTAAATTGTTAGTTATATTCTAGATGACAAATACCATTGTTTTTATGTATTGTACTAGAATGTGTGTACACTTCTGAGTTCTATCAACGTCGAACGTCCAAGGAACTTGTATCAAGCTACGACGCCAACATCTGGTCAGGCCACTACCAGAGACGCAAGTTGCAGCTGAAAGATGGGTTCTTTACCCCCCAGCATAAAGCTTATCAAACCATTGGACAAATCCAACTGGACACAAAGGAATTGGTTGCTGATGTGTTTCAAGATGGTCTTGAAAACAGGGTAAGGTAATAGCCATGGTAATGCTTTGTCCAAATTTTATGACAAATTTCTGTGATGTGTTTATAATTATGGGCATGATTATGTCATATTGTACCCAAATATGGACATCACATATTTGTCACATAAAATTTGATAGTGTGTGGACAGAGTTCTAGATAGGATATTAATTTACTATAATTAGCTAATCATATTAGCATATCTAGAGTTAATCCAATTGGAAATGTGGCAAAGACAAGCCAACCAGTCACTCGTTGCAAAAATCAATTTTGAGTTATTAATACGGGTTAAAGAGTAAATAAGAGTTATACAATGGTCAAAAAATCATTCAAATCTCAACATTTCCTTATGAAGTTACAAGTGTTTAAACATACAGCTGTTTAAAGAACAAATCAGCCTTCAGAGCAGAAACTATCATCAAATTCATAAAAATTGTTATTTTTAACGTTGAAAATTGGGGAAATAACAGCATAGCTTGATATATAGATATATAAAGGTTACTTTAGTGCAATAAAATAGATTTTTTAAAATTTTACATTCCAGCATGTTTTGGCCATTTCCTCTGAAACACGATTTGCGACGAGTGACTGGTTTGGTTTGTCTTTGCCACAAATAATACTCATAATTATAATTGTCAGTCAATGGTATTGTTCCAAACAAATTTCCTTTTTTCGATAAAGGTTTTGTATTTCATTTTTTTATTATACCATTTGTCTTTGTTATTTATATCGTTTGTGTTAATTTCATTTAACCTTCTCTTCATTATTATAAAAACTGAAACATTTGGGACACCAACGCTTTTGTACTGAAATGTATTAATCAGAAGAAAGAACGAATAAATAAATATATAATAATGTGCATAATAATTAAGAATTTTCTGAATTAAAGGCTAACATTCATGGACGTCCGCCTGCAAAACCTAGTGTTAAGACCCAACGAAGCACTGGCGAGCTTGCCCAAAGTTGGCATAAGGTAATATTAAAGTAATTCTTGATATTGAATATACAGTGTATATCCACACTCTTTCATAGGTTTAACTCTTCCTTAACAAAACTTTCAGACATTTGGATTCACTGATCAATTTGTTTTCTTTACTTATTTCTTTAAATAATTTTTATTTTCATTTAGTTTTGTTTTGTATTTGTAATTTAAGTGTTTGTTATCTGGACCTTAAGGAAGAACAATGTCCCTACATTCCAGAAAAAATGAAGTTTTCTATAACTAAGCCTTTTTTCGAAAAAAAACCCCAAAAAACAAACAAACAAAACAACAAAGCACTAATGAGCTTGCCCAAGGCAGGCATAAAGGTAACCCTTAAAAAAAACCCCAAAAAACCAAGCTAAAAATGGGTCTTATTGAGAATGATGTTTTAACTGTTGTCACATTGTAGGATGATGTGACAGAAATAGAATTAACGAAAGACAAGTCAAGACAGAAAGAGGAAGAGTTAGCAACCCAAACCGCCGGGCTAACGTACATCAAACAGCATCTTGACGATCTGGAAATGGCTATTAATCGTACGCAGGCAGGACAGCAGTTTCAGAACTGTATACATGATATTGAAGTAAGTATTGGGCATTTGTATGATTATCGTGTTTGTAATAAGTTCTATGCTTATGATTAATATATTGTGTATTTATGAATTCATACATAAGCAATGTCGATGTTATATAATCTTTGACACCACTACAACATTGAAATAGGCCTACTGTTATATACATCACTTTTTATATTTATTTAATTACAACTACAAACCATAAATCACAAAATTACAAAATTAAAATTATTTACACTTTACGTAGCTTTAAACATGTCAAAAAATTAAGTGACTACAAAATTAAGTGAAAACAAAATAATTCTACATTATTATTGCATTTCATTCTATAGCATCAGCGATTGTTGGCAGCAAGTAACCAATCTCAGACCCAAGCCATCAGCTTCTGTGCCCCCAATTCACCATCGTACACACCGCAACCGCATTTAAAGCAATCAAGAGGTAGCCAAGACCGCGGCCTACAGATCAGGTCAGCAGACTCACTGCGGAGTGGTGCGTCGACAACGTCAACGATAGCAATACCAGTTGACGAAGATCAAGAGGCGGAGCTAGCAAAGTGAGAGCTCAAGTCCTGTCCAGACTATCAAATTCATGTGAAATGCCCAAATATGGTCATAATGACATCACATCATGACCATATATATAGGAACATCATGACTATATATGGGCATACAGTAGTTTTTTGTCACAGAAAGATTTGACAATCTGGACAGAGCTTAGGATTTTGCTAATTGTATCTCATTTTTTTTATTAAATATCTATTGTAGTATTTTCCCCTCTAATTCGTGGCCTGAAAATTTCGGGTGATCTTGGGGTTTCGCCTCAAATTACTGGGTTAGCTTTGAGGTAAAAGATTAATGATTTGGTTCTTCGAAAAATTAGTCTTGAATTACAGAGGTCTCAGAATCACATGGGTCTCGAGGAGAATGCAATTTTAGTGTTCAGCTGTTGTGTGACACCATTGTTCACTGATCTTGGACCTTCTTTTCATTTTACAATTTTTAGCTCCAATGAGGAGCTCTAGGAATAACCTTGTTGATTGTGTGCTTTTTTGCTGATTGAGTGTGCTTTCACGGCTGAGTCAGGTTTCAGCAAGGACTGTACATTACTGCCATTGCCACTTTTATACATGTCGTATGGATGGCGCGGTCGGTTTAACCGTGCAATCCATACGGTTGCATGCGATTAGTTCTAAGGAACCAGAGGCTGTGAATTCGAATCACGTCTTGTATTCAATTTTTTTTTCGATTTAAAGACATTTTAATTTTGTATAAATTATTGAAGATAATTCTCTCTTATTATGAGAGCTCTCTAGAAGTATTTGGCTGATTGATTAATTAATTCCTGATGATGATCTAATAAATGATCAAAATATTGAATCACAACGACTAGTCTTACTGTACTTTATTTGTATGATTGATACTAAGTGGTCTAACTTATTAGTGGACCTACTTGTTTTTAATTAATTAATTAACAGATGTACATACTGCCATTACCACTAATAGGGCACGTCGTATAGATGGCGCGGTCGGTTAATGATGTGTTCTATTAAACTAAAGGTCATGTATTCGAATTGCGTCTTGGTATACAATTATTTTTTTTTTTCCAATTTTGAGACTTTTTTTTTTCAATTTTAAGACATTTTCATTTTGTACAAGTGAACATTCTAATTATTTACAAATTTCTATCTTATTAGCTCTTCTACTTTTTTTTGCCAAACAGCTTTCAAATATCTTTATAGTGTTCATTTACACAAAAAAAAAATAAAATAAAAGACCGAGGCGAGTTCCTAACAACACAGCGTTAACCGACCATGCCATTTATACGAAGTGTCCTGTTAGTGGTAGTAGTAATGAATGGCAATTATGAACCTGTGCCGAAAACCCAATATAATATTAATAACTTATGCCACTGTATATAGTATTTAGGGAGGATATTTCCTCCATGATTTAAGCATGTTTTACTGTATACTCATCGGAGCTTTTAAGATTACGAGAACATGTTCCATACTGTTATTTAATATTATCCAATCACATTTTCTGGCCATCCCCTACTTGAAGGCCAAACAACCACTAGACCATTTTTAGTAGTCCTGCAATTTTATTCTTAGGCTTGGCTTTCTTTTTTTTAAATGCAAAGGCTAGCCTGTGAAAGGAAGAAGAAAGCAGAACTGGACCGCCTTCAATGTATCATCATGGTGCTCAATGCTCTTCACAATATGAGAACACGGGATATACGTTCTCGCGTACCTTTATCTCATGAGACTGTGAAACTCCTGTTTCGTGATGTTATTCTTGATATACATGGCCGACCAATTGTCAGGTATGTGAACTATGATTTCTTGTAAATCTTACATCTTAGAGTGTAAAAATTTCACTATCTCACAACCTTTTTTTTACACATACATACATTAATTTCGTCATTGTCTCTAGATGTGTATAAGAGACAGCTGTATACATGATATTGAAGTAAGTATTGGGCATTTGTATGATTATCTTGTTTGTAATTAGTTCTATATGCTTATGATTAATATATTGTGTATTTATGAATTCATACATAAGCAATGTCGATGTTATATAATCTTTGACACCACTACAACATTGAAATAGGCCTACTGTTCTATACAACACTTTTTATATTTATTTATTTACAACTACGATATATTTCAAGCTGCCCACCAATGAACAATTTTTTATATTAGAACAATGTAAATAATAATTGCAAATGATTTAAATCAGGGGTGGGCATAATAATCAGTTGGGAGGGCCAAAGTGAATTTTTTATTTAACACCGAGGGCCGCATCCAAACTTTGTTGTTTCCAGTATGCTTCCAAAAACCTCCAAGAACTGCTTTTACTCCAATTTATTTTCAGTTTTATTTTACTTTTTACATATGATCAATGTTGGGCCATAAAAAACAAGGTGTTTTCTAGCCAATGTTGCTTGGCGGCCGTACACATAGGGTTTTAATTCATTTTTGCGGGTCGCAAAAAAATCGCTGGCGGGCCGCACTTTGCCCACCTGTGATTTAAAAAATGATCAAAGACATAGTTTACATTTGACTTTGATATGAAAATATTTAATGAATAAATAAGTCCATACTGTCCATTTATGCTATTATTAAATTAGAAATCAATATGTATGAGACTGATATGTGATATTTGAAGCTGTCCACCAATGAACAATATTTATACTACAGCAATGTAAATAACAATCAAAAGATACTATTTATACTTGGATATTATGTGAAAATATATAAAGTAAAGCTATATCCATGCATAGGCTATAATTAAATTAACAATTAATATATGATTTCTATTGCAAGCTGCCCACCAGATGGTTACAAGTCAGTACAGACAGCAAGTACCTAATGTGCCCATAGAGAGATATAAACCAGCATTTTGGATGACTGTCTCCCAATCAAACTCGGACCTTGCTAAAGGTTAGTTATTGCCCTCAAACTAGAAGAGTGTCCATGACTGATGGAAAAATGATACGAAAAGTATGATATTTAAATAATCTGCAGGGGTTTGCACCATCTTGTTTATTCATAATACACTCAACCCAAAAAATACTAGAAGACAATTATTACATATGTAAATAATTCCAACAAGGAACAGCATTCAAGGAAAGAGAACCAGAGATCCCAAGTTTCCTGGAACTCGCGTGAGTATCCCGGAAATCGGGACGGCCTTCTGCACTTTCGCAAGCAAGCAAAAATCTCCCAGAAATTAACCCATACCCCGCAGATTCATAATATTTGCATGTTTTCACTGCTTTATTATTAATTGTCTCACGGAAATCATTGTCAATGTGTATCATATTGTGCAGCAAAATAAAAATTAAATGATCTAAATTTTAAAAAATGGAGAGAAAAATAAAATCATATTCCAAATTTAAGTATGAGAATGCCATTTCCGGCCATCTAGAGGTGCCATAAATCATAATGTTCTTACCTCAGCCCCAGTAACGGTGTTGAGTTGAGCTGGTATAGTACCTACATAAGCCCCTCCCTGCTTCCCCCATCTTGGATTCGTCACTGCAGATGTCCCGACGGGAGCAAATTGGGTGTAGTCGGGAATTGCTCAAAATATATCGGAAGTGGTCCAGGGGATGAAGCCCCTAAAAGTTAGACAATTTATCTATTTATGTAGAAAATAAAATACATATAATTTATTTCTCCCCGATGAATTGTAGCTTTTCTCCCTGACGGAGTAAGTAGGTGGGGGTAGCTCCACCCCCCCCCCCTGGAATTAACTTCTTCCAACTTAGGACCCCTGGAGAACTTTCTGATACCAAGCATCAGTCCTGTGGAATGATCTTCCAGTAAAGCCGATTTTCGAAACCATTTACTTCTTATATTTGTGCATTTGTAAATTAATTGGTTTTACCTCTTTTTCATTTTCTTATTTATATTATGTTTACTGTAGCAAATCTGGGCTTCTTGGGAGACCAGTACTTAAATTGCATTAAAAGAGCATTTCAGTACTAAAGAAAGATTTGTATTGTATAAACTAAACATTTTATATTACTACACTACAGTATGATAATTAAAATGTGGGCTTTTGTGCAGCTGTTTTGTTAAGCACTGCACTATTTTTGTCATTGAGAATTCTTATTCAAAGTGTACCTACCAGTCTAAAAAATGATAAGGCTCAACCATATGTACCAGTCTTGAAAAATCCTAATGATGAATAATAATATTGTTTGACATTTGGCCGTTTCTCAGTCACATTTTTATTTTTTTTTGCTGTTGAAAACAGTATCCTCTACAGAATATACAGTATGAAAAAAGAACAAGATGGAACAAACTCCCCTCCCAGGGAAGTGTTCCTAGGCATTCAGCACAGACCAATTATTATGAAGAATTAGGAAGGGTGTGATACTGCACCTGCTACTCAAATCTTTTATTTTTAATTAATAATATAATCTAATAACTTTAATATGCAGTAAAAAATGTATATTATTATGTAAGTTTATTATATTGTTCAATTGTGTTATCTCAACGCAGACAGTATAATATATTCCAACTTCCTCTTGCGGAACCCTTCAATGGTACTCAAGAGAATTGAGTAGGCTATACACTTATGTGGGTCTTCATACAGGTATCTTTCTTGCCACATTATCAGTGGCTTAAAAAATTTAATCTAAAACTCTATGCCCATATTTAGGTGTAATGCGAAATCATCATGCCCATATATGGTCACATCAAATTAGAAAGTTCAGACATAAATTGTATCAAATTAAAATTAAAGCTTGGGTAGGGAAACCAAAATTGAAGTCTTTTATTGAATGTTTTTTTTTTTTTTAGATTTCGTAACAGAAAATATTATTGCAAAGCACATTTTGGATAATTTTATTAGGTGTAGATTTTCACATTAAGGTTTTCATGTTTTCTAAACTTTGTAATGGAAAGCATGTGATAGATAAATACTGATATGATTGATTTATTGATTGATTTATTTAAATGTTTGAAACACCTAAAAATATCAATACTGCAATAAAAATACAGTATTCAATTTTGAATATTTTAGCAAAACGTTCCAATAATACCAGCGAAATAGATTCTAAGCCTGAAAAGCAGAAGAGGAACCCAAAAGAGATTCTTAAATCCTTCAATGAAAATTTCAAAAGTTTACAAAGAAGATTATCCAAAGATTTGAATACAGACCTAAAAAGATTGGAGAGGTCAGTATTCAATTCACATCTTGTTTATTATCAAAGCCATATATTCTTATGATAAATGACCAAAAAACCACTGCTGCGCTTTTACAATTTTGCATCGCTAATCTAAGAGGCGTTTATTCAGGGGTGGTGCTTTTAAAAGATGTTAAATTTTTAAATATGCCAACTGACTTATTCCTATGTTAATGTTATTCAATCTGGAAAAATAGTTTCCTGACAATAAGAAACACAAAGTCATCATGAAATGTTGTGTACTGCGGGCATATTCAGGAGTGGCGCATAGAAAAATAAAATTATTTTTGATGTGTCGTTTAATCGAGAGCATTGTTATTGGAAAAAGCCTGGGCCCTTAATATTTTATCACTTACGGTATTC